GACAAGGGTATTTTACCTGTTTAACATGGGTAAAAAAATGTGCCTTGTCCTGGATTCAAGTATAAGGCAGCAGGGGGATAGGCAACTCCTGTGGTTCCAGCTCTGACCCTGACCTAGGATTGGGGTTTGGGCTGCAGCAGCTACCTGCCCTCTTGCCACCTCTGCCAGTGCATGGAAGCACCCAGCCCCAACCAAATGCTGAACATCTATCTGCTAGTTTCGATGACACTGTAGCTTTAGGTGCTGTGTGTAAATCACAAAAAACTACAGCATGATCAAGGTGCCTTTCTGTAGCTTCTGTAAACACAGGGGATATGAAGGCATGCAAAAAGTTTCTGTCACATCAAGAATGGACACTTAGAAAATAAATGTCACAAGGAAAATAAGTGTTGATAACTGCTATGGTATCTGTATTTTATTCACCGTATTCATTTAGCTTTTCTTTTATCCCTCCTTTCTTTTTTATTTAAAAGCCCCTTACTTCAAACAGAACGCAAAATAGTATCTATTTACAATTAATATTATACTCAAATACATGAAAATCATGGATTTATTTTTCAGTGGGGGTGGTCCCATAGCTACAATGAATGGAGAACAGCAAAAAAATTAAGGAAAGAGCACATCTGCTTGAAGAAAACTGTATGCACTGGAGTAGTCAAAGGTAACCTTCAAGGCAAACCCCAGCAAACCTGTGCTAAGTAGGTCTGTTCTGTTCTATCTTTAAATGGTTAAGGGATCTGTTTCTAACCCCATTCTTGACTACCAGATATAACTTTGTGGACCTCAATGCAGCCAAAGGGCTGAAGGAAATTCACTGAACCTAGTAAAGGGACAGAGAAGATTTGCTGGGAATGTGGTCAGGAGATCATTTATATCCAGAAAAGGACAACCATTCTTCAGATTGCATTGACTGAAGTCAAATGTCTTCACGTCATGACCCATATTAAAAGACACAATAAAGAGGCATATGAGAATGCTGAGTAAAATCAACAGAGAACTTAAAATACTGCATTTATATTTTACGATTTTTGTCAAGAATGTAGTTATTAAATGTTAATTTATCCAACTGTCATTTTTTAAAGTAGCATGGTGTGAAAAGCAGATGAACATTTTCAGCATGTGGAAGAATATAGGTTTGTTGAAAATCATACTTTTTTTTTTTTTTTTTTTTTTT